TCTAGGAAAATGAGTTTTTCAATTCTCTGTGTTTTCTGTATAGGGAGACAAAGGAGAATTGTTTGTTAAGGACCTAGTAAAACATGTAACTGAAAGATGGCTTGCTCAGCTCTCTGTGTTTCAAGCGGAAAAAATGAAAAAGAAAAGAGTTGTACCATTCCCTGGCTTTTGCTGTATCTTTGGACCTAGTTTGGTTTCAGAATCAGTGTTTATACAAAAAGAAAAGTCTACCTCATTTAAAATATTAGAAGAGCTAAGATCATGTGATCTTATTAGTGATCATATGAATCTAAAATGTTACAGTATAAATACTGATAAAAAGGTAAACTTGAACAACTGATGAATCTAGCACCTTGCAGCAGAAGCTGGGTTATATGGAACATACCCTCATCATGTTTCTATTTTAATTAAACACAAACCTCTAAAGATATCTTCTCCCATTATTATTACTTACAATCTGCCATTATCATGTGAAATAGTTATAGAGATTGCTTTCCAACGGAAGGCTCACTAGGACGCAGAGGACAAAAGTCACAAAAAAGAGGTAATTTAGTGTCTCATCAAATGTGTACAAGTCTGTGAAACCAGTTACCGGGATCAATAACTAGACTGGCATATTAAATACCAAGAGGCACCTCTTTCGACAACTTAAAGTATGTAGAAAAGAGGTTGATGCCTTGTGATGAATATTTTCACTAACATTTTATTCCCTTTGCACAACAGAAAGCAAAGTTTTAACAGCAATACTTGTGGGTAAAAAAAAAATTGTGGGTAAAATTCAAATTAGTAATTTGGAGGACACAAAATTTTATAAACGGTAAAGATCAGCATACTTCTTTTCATTATTAAATCCTGAAGAAACTATGACTTGTACAAAAAAAAAAGGGCCATAACCAAATGCCTTTAAAAAAAAGAGTTAATAATATTCCCCCTATTTTGTTCACAGCTTTTCTTCACCTTTACAGATGACATTTTTCAGACTATAAAATGCATTCCACTGGCAAACCTCCTTGCTTCACCAGCTCTCAATTTTATAACAGTAAATCTACATCCCTGCGCCTGAGACATCTAGTATCTTTTGGTTTGTGACTTTGAATGAGGAAGAGAACAAGCTGTACATTTAAAAAAATCAATATCTAACATTATCAATATTCATTTTACTTTGTCAATACAAAACATAAAGGTGAAAGAGCAGTAAATAAACTAAAGCACTGAAATAAATTTGGTGTTCCTGTCACAATTAATAAATGTTCAACTGGTAATAATGCTTGCCAGTTTATAGTTTTAGAAAGAAAGTTAAATTATGCACCAGTGCTGTTTGCTAATATAGGTTGTGCAAAATTTTCAATACTCTACCAGCACAGAAACGTGATCAGATTTGGGGTTATTAATTTTACCTTTAATCTTTAAAAAAACGAAATAAAAAGATTGCTTCTGCCAAGCCCCTGAGCGGTGTTGGAAAAAGGCTGAGGACTTGAATTGAACCACAACGGCCTCACTATTTCTGGAATTCCTGTCACCAAAACCCTACAGACAGTTTTAACTTGATACACAGTGGGCTGCCATGAATCAAAATTGATGGCAAGAAGTATATTTTCATCTTCACAGTCATAAACTGTCATAAAAATCCAGTTTGAGATTATAACATTAAAGTGTCTAATTATAGTTTATCTGGTAATTTTTTTTGTAAGTCCTTTGTAAACCTGCTACGTGGCTAATATTTCACATATAAATCAGAGGAGATGATGAAACAATATTCAAGCTATCTCTCAACTCTTATTCCTATTTCAAATAAGAGTTATCGTCAATTGTCATTTTGCAGCTTAGATTTAATGCTGACTAAAGGCAGAAGGCACCTGAAAATCTAACTCAATTCAATATATCACAATTTAAATGCAAGGCTTGAAAGGGATCTGTAAAATATCCAGACCTTTCCCTTTATAATAATTCTACATGCTAACTCAACTTTGGCTGTTTATATAAACATAATCGATTCATTATAATGTGACTGTCTTCAACTACTTGAAATTTATAATTTTCAGAAACAAAATGATCTAGGATTCATAACCAACAACTCATTATCAGAATGTATTCAAGCAAAGTATTTCTGTGGGAATGTAGATAATACTCTTTACCTTAGAGTTGATTTATTACTAGTAGAAGATATTTATTCTCTTTAAAGCTGAAAACTTAAAAATAATTCTTCTCTGACAGGAATGCAGAGTTCTTAAAAATATATATATGAGAAACATAATTCTCCTGCTCTGCAGCTATTCAAGTAGAATAAAAAGGATGTATTTTAAAAAATACAAATTTTATTCTTGAAGTAAATGTCTAGTGATAAAAATCATGAAACATAAGAGACTCACAACAGTTTTGAAATGAAGCATCTGGAATATGCTAGTGTAAGGAGGAAAACATTGTTGACGCAGTAGAAATTGTTTCCTCGGACGGTACCCGAGTTGTAACATCGCAATCGCCTTGTGGACATAATTACATTATCCTTTCTTCAATCATTAGAATTGCTCTCCTCACTTCACACAGTCCTGCTGTGCAGACCCAAGCTCCAAAAGCGCATCTAACAGCTGCCACACTGCCAGGTGCTTCAGGAGGCTTCTTAAGATGGGTCTTGTCCTGTTTCTGTCACTGATGTGTGAATCACTGAAGGATAAGAGGATTCAGGGGACCATTCAGCTGGAATGGGGATATTAAAGAATTCCACAGAATGCCTGCTTTATGAGAGATGTGAACTGAGGAACGTATGACATGTATTTGATCTAAACTGTGGCTGTTATGTTCCTGTATGAAGAGATATATTGGCAGTATTTGAAGGAGTATTCTTATTCTCTGCATAGCAATATCTAGAGAAAGCTTCTATAACACTTACAACATGTAACAGTGGATTCAAGTAAACATACACAATAGAACAGGATAGTCTTTATAGATCAGTTCTCGTAAAAGAGCCTCAGCACACTCTCACAGGATGTAAGAGTTCTTCCATAAACTCTTAAGAGATCCATAGACAGAGAGAGGTATGAGGCCTCGCTTGGCCATTAACAATTATGTCAGCTCTGGGAGCTCATTTAACACATCTCTGAATCTTATCTTTATGATCTGCAAAAAAAGATCCTAACAGCACCTAGTTGTAAAGATAGAATGAAATAACAAAGACTCTGGGATATAGTAAGTATCCTCAACTCTACTCTGCCATTTTCAGAGGCTGTAAAGCGAACAGGAGGAAACTGCTCATCTTTTGCACCTCCTTATCAGCTAGGCCACGAAAGGTCCCTAGTAGGATGCAGTCAGCAAATGTAAATATTATTCAACAAACACACTCTACAGAGAGAGCTGTTTCTGATTTCTAAATGCCAACACATCAATGCAGTTAGAAGAGGAGGATCAAGTATTACACTTGCAACTACATACACAATTTTACAATGAACTTCCTCTTTGGGGAGTTAACTACGTTTGTACGTTCACATTTTAAGCTACTCTGCAACTTTCTAATGCTAAAGTATATAACCAAAACCTACGATATCAAGCTGATTGTCAAATCGAGCCTGACTCCCAGTAATCTTGCATCAGGTTTTTGAGATTATAAATCTCTACAGGAAGGGATTGCCTATCTTTCTTTTCAAAGCAGCTCGCTGATTTGAACCCTCCAAGTTTTGGTGAACAGTGCAATGCAATATACCACCAGAGATGCCTGAAGTATGGAACAAGCCCTCTAAATAGATAATAAGAAACATCACATCTTTTACTTAATTTTTCCCCAGGCTGAAAAAAAAACAAAACCCCAAAACCTAAACAAACAAAAAACCTTTCCCTCTATTCATAAATTACTATCTCAAGGACATGAATTTTATTTAGATATTTTATCATTAATCATGGGAAGAAAAAAATATTTCCTATAAAAAGTCCGCAAGAAAGTTCGTAGATTTTTTTATAGTTAGGGGTCTCAAGTAATTGATCAAATATCTTTGCTGAAAACATGCTCTCATAGCCAGCTTATGCATTACACATGTATTATAGCTAACTGTATTTATTGACAGGTGGGTGTCTACATTTTAATGCCTAACTGACTTCCTCTAACCGCTGATTTTTGATGTGCCCTCCTACCATTGGTCTTGCATGAAATTTTGTAATATATATAAAACCTTCACTACCAGCTAGATTCTTTGTCACTCCATTAAGGCTTCCTTCTTCTCTGGTCTACAGTGAATTCTCCCCTTTCAGCATGTGTGGCTTTCCTTACTACACTCTAATAGAGTAACATGTCTGCAGTATGACATGATATTTGTGATGTGGTAATGATTAGCAATTTTCTATTCTAATGCTAACACTGTCTATAAAGATGAATGTGACTGCTATGAAGCAGGGACCAGAAACCAGACTTCATTGCTGAGGCCAGGTTTCCATCTACGGCGACGTGAAAAGCTCACTGATTGCCCTGGAGTCAGAACTGACCCATAGAGGACTCTCTGGCAGTTTTTCTGAGGCTGTAAATCACCGAGATTGCCCATCTTTCTCCTGTGGAGCCAGTGATGGAGTCAGACTACCAGAGGCACTTCCTTTGGGTTTGCTAACTTTCGGCTTTGCAGCGCAAATCCCTATGAACTAAGTCAGCCAAGCTCCCTCTGGCAACAAAGACCTTGTACTGTGAGGCTGTAGCTCTACTTTTAAATTTACTATTTGTTCTCCTATGTAGTCTATAAGTTTCTTGAGTTCATAAATGCAGCCTTTGAAGTTTTGCAAAATTTGGTACTTCACAGGAAACCTTGCTCTGGGACAGGTGCGTAGCAAGTTTCTCAACTGTCTTAAATACCGTACAAGGTATATGCAACATATCCTGACACAAAATGAGAACACTCTGCTTATAATAGTTCTTTGCAATTGTGCTCCTTCTTTAGTGCAAGTGATTAAGGATTAGCTGCATTTCACTCCCGATGATTTACTAACTTCTGTTTGTCTTCTACCCCATTCCTTTTTATTTGTTTTACCTGCTGTGGTAGGTCCAGGCAAAGGTGCGGCTTTTCGTCTCCGTTTGATATCTCCTGTGCATAAGGATCCTAAATGCATGCTTGTTTGCCTACAAGTAATTATCAGAAAAAACTATTAACAAAGGAGGGGGGGAAATGACACATAAATACATAGCTTGTATAATCTGAACCTAAATCAAAACATTCTCAACAAAGATGGAGTTGCATAGTAAAACCACCAATCTTGTTTATATCGAAACATAATTACGTTTGTTGACAAGCGTTCAGCAGCTAAATGCGCCATCATAAATTGTTACTGGAATGAATAATATAAAAGGAATGCTTTTTAATTTTCAAAACTGGCAATCTTTCTGGCTCAACATAAAATCAAGCACTGTTGCTTCTGACAGGAAAATAGCTAAGATTAATTATCTAAAGAGATCACAATATTGTTGCTAGGTTATCAATTGTTTACTAATGCTTTACTGTCAGGGCAACATTTATTACAGGAAAAGTACGATCAATTTCTTTTAGGATATTATGTGGCAGTGAGTTCTCTCAAAATACTTAAAATAGATAGAAGGAAAATAGTGATGTCTGCCCTTTTAATTCATGTGATTAGAACTGTTTGGTTAATTATTTACAAGCTCTGCTAAGAAAGCATCCTTTCCTTGAGTTAATGCTGGTCTACCAATGCTAACCAGGCTACCTTTGGAACGCATTAGATCTGTAAGACATGATAGATGAGAGAAGTGGATTTTCTGCTCTTTTTGGAACTACTAAGATTATTCTGTGTGATCTTAGGCATTCAAGAGAGTTTGAATAAGACTCTGAAATGGCTCAACTAAAGAAAAACACAAAGATGGAACAAATTTGAAAGTCTTCAATCTTTTCAAGATTAGAGAGGATCATAACCCATAATGTTGAGCTAGATAATGCCTGGAGATCAAATAGCAGAAAGAAATGAAGCATGTTATCAGCTCATGCTCTTCCGGTAATTTAGAGATAGCTGATGGTACCCTGAGGTTGTCCATGGCTCAGTTAGAAAACACACCAATTATGAGCAAAAATAAATAAAAGGAAAAAAAAATTAAAAGTAAAACAGAAGACACAGAAATGCACATTCAGATGTTGAAAGATAATTAAAAACTGGTGCAAACGAATACATCAAATATAGGAGGTATATTTCACTTTCTGCATTTTTATCAGGTACAGTCCTACTGGTGCAGTGGGTTCAGAGATGGGCTACTGACCAGAAGGTGGGCAGTCTGAACTCACTGGCCACTCTGCAGAAGTGAAAGGCAGACTGTTCCTGCAAAGTTTTATAGCCTTATACTCCTGATGGGGAAATTTTATCCTGAAGACAAGAGTAGTCATTTTAAGTTGGAATCTACTTGATGATAAAGAGATGTTGGTTTTTTTTCCTTTTTGGATTGTGCACACAGACTGAATTATGATATAGTCATTCTAAGGGGCACATACAGACAAATAAACAGATCATAAAAATTTATAGTTAACGTTACAGGAGCATTTGCCTGATTTCCTCTTCCCTTTGTATAAATGTATATTGTTTCTCTAGGGAGCTCTGGTGGCTTAATGGTAAGAAAGAAGCTGTGCTTCAACTCTGAAGGTAAGCAGTTCACATCCGCCAGCTGCTCCATGGGAGAAGGATGAAAATCCACCGGAGGGTCAGCTATGGGTCGGTTCTGACTTGATGGCACACAAGAACAACAATATACTGTTTCTGTTAGGAATGGTTTTATTACCAGAAATAACAATGTTTTAAATATTAAAAATACTTTTAGAATTAGTTCGTTTAGTTAATGACTAACTTTGTTCTGCTGAAATATATGTGTAAATATCAATTAAGATAAGTAACTGAGATCTAGATCAGGTTTGAGGGACAGTCTTTGGCCAATAACACCAAGGAAAATCAAGAATTAATACTTCATCTATTAATTAAATGGCGTGCGAATTGGATTTTAAAGCCAAATTAAGAGAAAACAGATGTTTTTGTGAGAAATTTCATCCATTTATGTGATCCAGTCAGCATGTATTAGTATTTATCACTGATTTAGCACAAGAGAAGAATGATACAGAGGAAATAGAACGTCAGCTTCTACAGGAAACATTCATTGCAACATTCCTTTACTTTATAAATATTGGGCTTCTTTGAGTTCTCCTTTAAGCTACTTGTTTCATCAGAACATATCTGGTGCCTTCCCGTTAATTAGTGAGTTAAAATCTGGAACACATGTTCATTTTGTATCTGTGTAAGAAGTTGTGATTTTATCTTTTTGTAAATAATTATCCTTTCACATTTCCCCGATCCCACCTCTCTTCAGCAAAGATGAAAAGTTTGCCTTTTAGAATTACCAGGAGAAAGTGAGGTGGGGAAAGTGCTATTCTGAAATGGGAATAAAGTGAGGATTGGAATCTTAAGAGTTGCATAAGCCAACCCACAGACTATCTCCTTCTGATCCTCTTGCTTTATCTATCTATCTATCTATCTATCTATCTATCTATCTATCTATCTATCTATCTATCTATCTATCTATCTATCATCTATCATACTGCTGAAAGTATTCCTGTGTGGTAATGAGTTTGCTCTGGTCAGAGATTTTTCCAAGGTGCTGGGATGTCTGGAGAGCGGTGACCAGGGGAAGAAGATGATACTGAATCACGATTTCCAATTTGGGACCAGAATGTGAAAGCCACAAGTGTCATGAACACCCCTGAAGAAGCTTGGCCTTTACAGAGATTAGGGAGTCTTCAAAAGTCCTGGAGGTAGAAAGCAAGCAAAGCAGGTGTGTACGATGCTGACAGGAGTGGGCGTGGTTGAAAATGAAGAGAGAAGGTCCAGGCACATATTCCCTCCCAAAAATCCTGACTTCAGTTATACTGTCTAAAGGATTGCCCATAGCTCTGCGTGTTATGTGTTGGGTGCTTAACTGAAAGCTTAGTGGTTCAAATCTGCTAGCTGCTTCATGAAAGATGAGCCAGTCTCCTCTTGTAAAGATTTATAGTTTCATTAACCTGATGGAGGGTTGCCATATGCCTGAGTTGACTCAAAAAAAAAGGTTCTGGTGCGCCCCCCTTCCCTCCCAAATAATAAAGAATAACACAACCCTGTATTATTGTAGCTCTGGTGGCCTCGTGTGTAGGGAGTTGTGCTGCTAACCCAGCAGTGGCACCTGTCTGGAGGGACCACCTCCCCCTGGGTCTGCTGGGGAAAGGTGGACTCTCGCTCCTCGTGATTTACAGCTTCTGAAAACCTGCTGGAGGGTCTGCTGTGAGCTGGTTCTGACCTGACAGCAATGAGACATGCGGGTATACCTCGGTGAGGACACGGGCATGGGCAAGAAGAAGTAATATTTTGGAATTATTTAAAAAAAAAAAGACTTTCAAATGCACTTAAAGCTCAAACTTAAACCAACATCTGATGTGTCAGAACACCTCTTCTCTACGGCTCTGCTTCCTGTCTTCATCCGGTTCACCTGTCTCTGGATACATGCTGCTTTTAGCACATGGAGACTGAAGTTAGAAATCAGTACTCTCAATACAGTACTTGTTTCCCAGGAAGTATTTAGTGTAAAACACCTAGAACAAAAGCATTATTAGCCAGGGGTGCTTCTCTTAAAAAAAGAGATTTTCAGGAGTCAGAAATAACCGAGAGTTTGGTACACATGAGGTGCTCCTTGAGGCCAACAATAATGTCGGTTTCTCTTCTAATGACACTGAAATCACTCTCATTAGCCAATACTGCCTTTAAAATGTTACTCATTTTTTAAAAACACTATTTAAAATTTGGTTAAGAAGGCTACAAAGATAAGAAAGCACAAACTATAGAAGCAACTCCTTTTTCCAAACCTTGTTTGGATCTTCAGAACCAAACAGTCCCCTTCAGCTGTTGTTACAGAAGAAACAGTCACATTTTTACTCAACTTTCCTCTCATGCCCCACAACAAAGATTCATAAAGGAAGAGACAGATTCAAGGAGAATAAAGTTAAAAGTTAATAAAGGTAGTGCAATGAACTTGAAAGCCTTCAGCCAGAAGAACAGGTAGCAAGCAGTATTTAGTAATTCTATCAAGAATTGACTATACGCTACAGCACATTGAAGAGATGGGGATTATTGATCAGTCAGATTACCCCACTTAGGCTTGCTCCTTACCTGCTGTCCTAGCCTCAGACAGGTACACTGGAGTTCCTCCAATTAACACTAAGTGAGGCCTGTCCTGTTTTAGTGTCACTCTTAATGTAAGACATAGCAGTTATTTTATAATTTAAAATCAATGACGGTCTGAAAGGCACTCTTATTCCTTCAGTATAAATGAGTCGTTTGTCTTGGTAAACAGACTATTTGGATTTCTACTCGAGGTGACAGGATTTTATGTTTGATTTTTTCCTGTAGTGTTGTGAACAAGACACTGTTCTATGAACAGTTCCAAACAATTTAGAAAAAAGATACTATTGAGAACCTTTTGTAAAGTGCTAGAGGAAAATTACCAATTGGCTCTACGAGTTTATTTATTTCAGTTAGTTTTTTTCTTGGAGAAGGAAAAGGAGAGCAGAAATAACAATATGCCCACTTTATAAACATGACACTTTTACTATTAGGGTAACCAAATCTATACCTTGGAAATGACAAAGAATTAAGACTCTTGTTATGAATTAAGCATTGTCAGCTAGGATTTTAAAAAATGTTTTCCAATATACTATTTTGAAAATTTTCCTGCTACATATTAGAAAGAGGCTCTTTTTTTTCTTTCTTAAAAAACTGATTTTAATTGGATTATCCCATCATCTATTCTTAAAATGGTATGAAGCTAGGAAGCTAAGCATTTTAACTTGAGAAAGTAATAAAGTGGAAAGAATAAACAAAAAATCAAACCAGGAAAATAAAAAACAAGGAAATAAAACAACAACAACAACAACAACAACAAAAAACCCAAGTAAGAGCCACCTTGCCTGAAAACTTGGCTTTTGACCCAGAGCTGACAAGGACTGAAGCAGGCAGTGTCAAACAGAATAATTTTAAAGAGAAGACAACAAGAACTTGTCTCCTCATTGTATGTGCTTACAAATAGAGGCTTTTCAGAAATGGGGC